GTGTGTGTGTGTGTGTGTGTGGAAAGTCCACTCATCTTAAAGTGGCCAAGTTTGGACAACACTGGTATAAGGTTTTCTGATTCCCTGGGTAAACTTGGCATGGCAAGAAAAACTTCTCAAATACCCTTTCTCTCAGTGCCTGCACATTTGGCCATGGAATGGACGCTGTTCCCTGAAGCCTACATTGTGGAGGCTGCCAACTAGTTTCCTGCATTACTGAGTCTTTGGGGGCAATCGCTTGCTGAGGTACAATTTTCTTTCCTCCCCATTTTCTGCATTTAAGACACTTTGAAAAGAGCTGGCAATTGTACTGCAGCCTGGTCCATGAGAGCGCGAGGCAGATGACCTCACTAAAATCAGGGTTTGGATTATAGGTCTACCCCCCGCCTTCCCCAGATTCTGGTGCTTTTGTCACCCATTATGCTGGAAACAGGTTCATTTTCACGGACTTGGAGAGCAAGAACACGAAGAACAGGAACACTGATGTCCAGCTTCACTCTCCGGCACAGCTAATTGACGGTGGGCAGTATGGGACCTCAGGCAGCCAGGTGCAGAAAATAAGACTGTTTCACAGCCCTTAATGTTGGTATAAGTGGTAGGATTCTCAAGGAACAATCCTGAAAAATCCTTCTTGTAGGCAATTTTTCAAGTGGCGTATGAGCTTTTTTCTCATATATGGCCTGTATATTTAACACATCGATTTCCAGAGACTGGAAGATGTTTCTACTTTGGAACCTTAAGACTAGATATGTCAATTTGAAGCTGTAGGGTAGAGTAGTTACATCAACAGAAAAGCGTAACTTGGCCTCCGCCTGTCTTTCATTGGCTTGATGTGCAAAAGATATCAGCAGTGGTTGAAACTTTTACCGGGTAGCAATAACATGTAGCTATAAAGGGCAATTGAAAAGTTGCTACTTTGCCACATGGAATAAGCAAACAACTCCAGGTGCAGGCATATATTTTTGGAATGAAATTATTCCCCACACAATGCTATCTACCTTTACTTAGGAGTAAGTTCTACTGAACGTAGAGGGACTTTGGAATGAACATAAATAGGAGTAAGTCCAAAGCATAGAGTTTCAAGAGGAATTGGGGCAGTACCTTCACTGGGATTCAGTGAATGTTTGAAATAGGACTCAGAAAATATTTAATGGAGATAACAATGAAATGGGTGCAAAGTTTAAGGTTTAATCATTAGAAATAGGAGACTTGTCAAAGTGGTAACAGTTTTCACGTAGGGCATAAAACACACACAAAATTGTAAAATACACAAATGTTTCCACATTATGGGGAGGGGGTGTTATGAGAGAGGCTGTAAGTCAGGTGTAGGTAGCTTGATGCCCTTCAGATGTTTTGGACCTCATTTCCCATCAGCTCTGGACAGTATGGCCAATGGCAAGGATTGTACTACAAAACATCTGGTGGGTAACAGATTGTTTATCCCAGCTGTAGACGAATCCAAACCAGAGGTGCTTCTACAGTTATGAAAGCATGGAAAGGTTGAAAACCTAAGACATCCACCAACGAGCAGCTAAATAAATGGGTTTCTCTTAAAATGTGTTTTACTGTAAATAGTTCACTGTGAATTTTTTTAATGTTTATGTTGTATTATATTTTGAATTTTTTCTGAAAGGGAGGAAAAAACTTTTTGTGAAAATTTTCTCTCTCCATTTAATATGCAACCCAACTCAATTTTTTTCATGATAATAATGTAAATACCTTGAAGTATTTCTTACAGCACATTTTTCAGTATGGTTGAGCAAAGACTTCATAACTGTATACTGACACATTACCACTAAATAAATTTCTTTTATGGGAAACATGAGCATTATTTTTGTGCCTGTACCTACACACTAGCATATTTCTGTCCTTGTGTCCTTTACAGAGCTGTGCCCAAATGCCAAGCAATTAAAAGCGTTCAGAGCCATTCAGAGGAGTCCACTGAGAATGGTCTTGTTGCTTAAGTACCCATAGGAACATCTATGTTCATGCAGGGAAGAGATCTGTAACCCAGAAGTGGTTCCTCCAAACCAAAGGTAGATGGAATTATACAATCAATGTTTACATTTTTCTCCATGTGCAATGTATTTGCACTCATACATTTCCTTTCTTCATAAACTCTGGAGTAAGGAAGGGGAAGAACAGAGCAAGATGGAGTAAATAATACTGATGATTTGGATCTGGGCCTCAGTGAAGGACATGTCTCTGGGGAAAATCAGAATGAAACACCTAAAGGTTTAGATCAGCCACAGAGCAGAGATTCCCTTAATCTAGACAACAGTCTTCACAGGCATACCTCTAAAATTGAAAAGATGTTGAATTTGCAGAATCAATAAATAATCAACAGTAAAGAATAAAAGTGAACTGTTTTCCCCAGATGCACAGTGCATGGGCAATAACCTAAGCCGAAGCTACTTTCAGATCCAAGTCTTCCACTTCAGTCACAGATTTTATTTAAAGACAAGACATGCACCACCACAAAGCAACAATCCTATATTGACATTGACTACATGGGCAATGTGGAACTGCTCTCCATTAGCATCCAGAATGGGAAAGGATTTATAAACTCAATACATAATAATTTTAATATCGTATCTGACTTTTCCAACATGAATTGTACACTGGTATCTTCTGGTTCAGTTACTCATCTGTGTGTAACACCAAGACCTTTCCACCTGGAACACAACAGCAAGGCCGATTCTAACAATGTTCTCAAATACCGGAAGGGCTGCCCATCGTATATATACGGAGAACATCAAATTAGGGATTAGATTAGATGTTGTGCACTTACTCCATTGTAAGACTCCAGGCTGCATACATTGGATTCTCTGGTCACTTCCAGCCAAACTGGGATGTTCTTGACATATTATGGTTTCACTAACTTTGTCCAGCTTTGCAGTTGTTACCACAGGCCTATTTCCAAGAAGGACGTAACTCCAAAATATGTTGGTCAGATGGAAAAAATATCGCCATTAGCCCCATTCAGTATGATGGGATTGTTCCCCTTAACTCATAGTGAAAAGGGGCAAGGTTGTGGGAGGCAGAACACTACTTATAGCAGAGCATAAATGTGCAACATGCTGAAGAGACAAGCACTTCTGTTTTGGACTGCTGAAACATCTGGGAGCCTTGAAAAATCAATCAACAGGAAAAGTTGCTGACATTGAGACATGCTTACTGCTCTTGCAAAGCTGCGCATAAAAGGAACAGGTGGCATGGCTTGTGCCAGTGAAGTCATACACAATTGGGTTTCCATTACCACCTTCAAGTGCAATATCTAAAGTACTAATCTGCAGGATTTAGATTGCATTTTTCCAGCAATTTGATCCCAAGAAAGCACTGCTTTCCCCAGGTAAGCATGACAGCCTTTGAGCAATCATGCAACTCTTTCATAACACAGGATCAATCATGCCTTCCACATGCAGACACACTCAGTTGGCAGGGCTTTTCTATTAGCTTCCATGTTTGACTCAGTTAACAGTGCCTGTGCTGATTTCCTTCTCTTTTCAAGACAAATGATCCAGAGAGCGCAGGCTGCAACATTTTCAAAGAATTGATCTAATAAATTGTCCGATTTCACCTATGATTACTCCGAACAAGAATAAAGAACAGAAAACAAGACTTAAAAAAACTTGCAATAAAGTATAAAGCTAATAAAAGATGACGTACACACACAAGACACATTCCATAAGAAAAGCCTCCAGTGCTGGCCCCTTTGAAGTGAACGGGAGGTGCGATTTGCACCCTACTGGTTGACCTCAAAAAGGCTTCATGCTGGAGAACCTTCTGTTGAATTGTACCTCTTGAATCTTCCATTTGCAATTCCAAAGAAAGTCAACAGCTAGAGGGCTTTATGACTGCTCGGGCTGAAGCGATCACAGACCTAGCAATTTTCCATCAGGTTCAATTTTGCGTCATCAGGGAAGTCAACTGTCCAATATTTCTCTTTCCAAGACTCTTATCACTGGCAAGAATGACAATAAATGCTAAGGAGAATTTTCTCAGCTGCCAATCCATCTTTTTTCCCCCTTTCCTTAGTCCCAGATGCAAATCTTAAGCAGAGGAAGGCAGGAACAGTTCGCTGAAAGAGGTTATGAGTCTATAATACGATTTTTCATCGTCTGTCAGCCCTGCGTTGCCAGGCCGGACCACGACAGCCACATGCATGTCTGCTTCTTCGGCAGCATCTGCTTCTAAAGGACAAAAAGTGAGGCTCATTAAATTGCACAGAACCTATCACTTCCAGGATGTCACCTGTTCTGTCCATACACTTCCCGCTTCCTTAGGACCCACTAAGGGGCTGATCTATACAGCCAGGAAAAAAAAGGGCATGGTAGAAAGATCCCTACATTCAAACCATTTCAGGGAACAATTTGGGGAGGGGAGAGGAATGCCTGATTTTGACAGTCCTGTCAGAAAGCCTCTGCCCACAGAAACAAGCATGTTAGTCTCACGCTGGTAAGTACGGTTTTTTAAAAATGTGATAATTAAAACAGCCAAATCCCCCCTCCCTGCTTTTTTTGCAGTTTCAAACACCGGCAATGTGGAAGGTACAGAACAGATTTTAGTGCACTGTAATTGCCTTAAAATCTTGAGCCTGGGTAGATGTTTCTGAATTCCACCTGCAGGTGCCAAACATTAAACCCAGTTGGTTTTAGATCCAAAGCACGTCCTCTACAACTCTTCCCTAAAGGGGAAACTATATAAGAATGATTTTTGTAAAACTTTGGTCCATGTTATAGTTGACCTTCAGAAGTCCCGCTCTCTTCTTGCCTCTTGCACAACTAGACAGATACCCTCTCACCGCACCAGAAAGCAGCCACCAGCTTTATTACCTTGAGTGACATCTGTCAAGAATAGAATGTTGTTTGTGGCACATCCAATGCTCGCAGCAATCCGCTGGTAACTCTCACTGTCAACCTTAGGGCCTATTTTGGTGTCAAAGTGACCATCAAAGAGCTGGAAGGTGGAAGGAGAACATTACAAAAAGAACATGGAGTTGTTCCTATGTTTTATTCCTGCAACAATCGTCTTGAAGGAAGCTGGGCTGGGAGTGAGTGACTGGCCCAAAATCAGTTGAGGTGTTTTCATGGCTGAGGATAGACTAGAACTTGGATCTCTATAGTCCTAGCCCAACACCTTAAGCACTACACCACAATGGCTGTCTTTGTAATATTACTGTTGTTATAGAGGCAGGAAGTGCTATTATCTTTGGCAGGGAAAAACTGAAAGGGTGTGTATGCAATTGGTTAATCTTTTGACTTTATACCTACCTCTAAAATATCACCTTCTGTAGAGTTCCCAAACAAAAGCTTTTGTGCCTCCACACTCCCAGAAGAATAAATATACACCTTCCTTCCTGCTTCTTTCCACTTTCTCACTGCTGGAACGACATCCTTAAAGAACCTGGAATGGGGCAGGGCAGGGCATGGAAACGGAATTGTTGAAGAGGCAATGAAACTGCTTTCCTCACCTATATGTAATACATCACTTATCATAAAGATGACCTCTAAGCAATGAACAGTAAAATAATTATTTAAAGGCAATTGAAACATCCATGGTAAAATCAAATCATCATCAAATATTCAAGGAAGGGGTGAGGAAAAATACAGTTTTCCAAAGATGTAGGAAACAGTGCAAAGGGACTGCTTCTTGTGTAGATGAGGTGAAGGCGTTTCAGAGGGTAGAGTAATTGTAGAAAATGCTAGTTTCAGTGATAGCCCTCTATTATATGTCTGCAGAACGTGGTGCCATTGAAAGTAGCCCAGAAACCATTAACAATCTAGCAGTCTATAAAGGTTATCTTTTAGCAACTCTGGTCCTGGGCTGTTCAAGTAAAAACGAAGTACATTAAAAATAGCCCAAATCTCATTAGATTGTGGGGCACTTTTGTTAAGAGTCTATGCAAAAATACTGAGATCTCACAAGATGAAAAACTCTTGGGAGATTTCAGCTATCTTTATATTTTCTTAATAACAGGGGAAAGGCTGTTTTGGGGGTGCCATGTTGCCAGTCTTTGCCATTTACATAGGTAACAAAAATTGAAGTTGGTACAGGTATAATCCAGGACAACCTCTGCCTTAGTGCCCCCATCAATGATGGCAAGTTCTGCACCAACTGAAATGTTTGCATCAGCCCCAAAACAGGCCCTGGAGAAGAAGAAACCTGCTCAGAAGCCAGATGTGTTCCTTTTCACCAGATGTCTCTTAAATTTTCTTCCATAATATCCAAAAGACTGTCATCTGCAAGAAGAGACAGGCCTGCTTTCTGTTAAAATCAAGGGTGGGATATGCATTGAAATTAAAAGAAAGGAAATTCAGGCTGAACATGAGGAGGAATATCCTGACGGTAAGACAAGTTAGACCAGTGTTTCTTAACCCTTGGACCCTTTAGATGTGTTGGATTTCAATCCCAAAATTTCCCCACCCGCAAAACGCCCAAGGTTGGGAAAAATTGG